ACACACTATTGGCATCGCATACAGTTTGTGAGGATTACACAATCCACCGAGAGGCACAGCAAAGTGCTGTCTCATCGCGCATCTCCTCCATGTATTTGAACGGGACATACGGAAATTCTGCTATTCTTTATTGAAAAAAATTCCTTCAACATCGGATTTGAACGGCAAAAGGGCCTACAACACACACCAGCCCACAAATATTAACATTTATTATATTTGATGGTTAACTTTTTTTTCTTTTCAAGATTGACGGGGGAGGCTCTGCCTCACCTGCCTCCCCTGACCGCATGTCACTGGTGTCTGTACACTGGGTCCAGCTGTACCAGCCTGTAACACTTTATCCATATAATCAAGAACAATTTGATAAACTAAACATCAAGTATCAAGTGTATTTTCACAGCAGTCTAAGGACAGTGTTTTGCAAATAAGTAAAGTACTAATGAAGCCCTCAAAGAGCTTACACTGCATAATTCATATGAACTGTGCAACCGCACTAACAACCACATTATCTGAGCAAAACAGAAATGCAGAAATTTAACTGGAACTTCATAGTTTTATCTTATTTCTAGGAACAAATATGCACAATAATTACACATTTAATTACATTTGTTTTAGTTCCAACCATCCATTTAGTTACAACCAAACCGTACATTTCATTTTGTACCATTTGTGGGTCAATTTTAAAACTATGTGAAATGACAGGTTTGGTAATATGAGCCTGCTTTGGATTTTCCCACGGTGCCACAGCTGAAGTCAAAACCCACAGTGACAAGAGATAAAACCGGAGAAAGAAAACATCTGTGCGACTCTCACAGTCCTGTATGACCGATTCTGTATCTCTGCCTCTAAGTTATTGGCCCAATAAATAAGCTGCTTTCTGGAAAGATTCAAAACCAAAACTGCACTGTATGCACATGCACTTGTTTTGTTCAGAGAATAGTAAGATGGAATTGGATGGAGAATAGAAACCAGTTTGATTAGTTTCTTCATAACAGTGTGATATTTTATTTGCAGTTTTTTTTATATATTTTACTGGCAAAATGGTTTTTCTTACAAAATTTACACACACAATTATAATAGCAACATATTATATGATAATACAAAAACAATCTTGAGTCACACATAGTGAACCTACAAACACTACCCAAAAATTTCCCTCAGAAATTGGTAAAAACCAAAAACAGAGCGAAAAGAGAGTGAATATTAAATTTACTAATCTGATGGCCACACACTTATAATTCATTCAGAGCCAGAAACTCCAAATACACATAGGGCTGACTCTCATGCGCTGACGAACAACCGGTCCGTCACTGGGCTGACTCTCACAGGGCTGACTCTCACAGGGCTGACTCTCACGCGCTGACGAACAACCGGCCCGTCACAGGGCTGACTCTCACAGGGCTGC